CTCATGCTATGCAAAAGATCTCTACGACTCATTCATCTTGCATAACTGTAAAGTAGCACTTGGAAGTTTTTTAACTATTCTCTTCTTTATTAATTCTTCTCCTTACTTTTAAGTTTCCTTTTCTTGTTGAAGTATAATCAACATATAGTATCCTATTAGTTTCAGGTGTACATCATAGTAATTCAGTATTTTTATACATTATGAAATGATGTTGATGATAAATCTAGTTACCATCTGTCACCAGGCACGGTTGTTATAATAGTATTGATTATATCCCTTATACTGTAATTATATCCCTTTGACTTACTTATTTTATAACTGGAAGTTTCTACCTCTTCATCCCCTTTAGCTCTTCCTCCCACTCCACAACCCCCCCACCCTCTGGTAACCAGCAGTGTTTTTCCTGGATCTAAGAGTCTGTTTCTGCTTTGTTTTGTTTATTTGTTTTGTTTTTTATAGTCCATGTGTAAGTGAAATCATATGGTATCTTTTCTGTCGGATTTCACTCTTATTTTACTTAGCATAATCATCACCCTTTAAGTCCTGTGATGATGTCACAAATGGTAATATTTCGTTCTTTTTTATGGCTGAGTAATTGTGTGTGTGTGTGTGTGTGTGTGTGTGTGTGAGAGATCTTTATCCGTTCCTGTATGGATGGACGCTTAGATTGCTTCCATATGTTGGCTATTGTAACTAATGCTGTAGTGAACATCAGTGTGCATTTATCTCTTCAGACTGGGGTTTTTGTTTTCTTCAGATAAATACCCAGAAGTGAAATTGCTGGATCACACAGTCATTTTCAACTTTTTGACGGGCCTCCACACTGTTCCTCACAGTGGTTGCATCACTGTGTGTTCCCACCAACAGTGCACCAGGGTCCTCCTTGCTCCACATTCTCACAAACCCTGGTTATTGTCCTTTTGATACCAGCCATTTTGGTAGGTGTGAGGTGATAACTCATGGTGGTTCTGATTTGCCTTTCCCTGACGATGAGTGATGATGAGCATCTTTTCATATCCCTGTTGGAGCTCTATGTTGTCTTTGTAAAAATGTCTACTCAAGTCCTCTGCCCATTTTTTAATTGGGTTATTTGTGCATTTTTTATGTTAGGTTATGTGGGTGCTTTAAACTTATTTTGGATACTAACTCCTTAGCAGATATAGGATTTGCAAATACCTTCTATTCAGTAGGTTGCCTTTTCATTTGTTGATCATTTCCTTTGTGTGCAAAAGCTTTGTAGTTCGGGCACCTGGCTGGCTCAGTCGTTTGAGAGTCTGCCTTCAGCTTGGGTCATGATCCCAGGGTCCAAGGATCGAGTCCCGTGTTGGGCTCCCTGCTCACCGGGGAGTCTGCTCTTCCCTGTCTCTCTGCCTCCCCCAGCTTGTGCTCTTTCTCCCTCACTCTCTCAAATAAAACAATACAATCTTTAAAAAAAAAAAAAAAAAAAAAAAAGCTTTCTAGTTTGATGTAGTCCCATTTATTTATTTTAGCTTTTGTTGCCCTTGTCTGAAGAGATGGGTCCAAAAACAGATTGCTAAGCCTGATGTCAGAGAGCTTACCACCTATGTTTTCTCCTAGGAGTTTTTTTGGTTTTAGGTCTTACATTCAAGTCTTTAATCCAATTTTAATTTATTTTTGTATATGGTGTAAGAGAGTGGTCCAGTTTGGGTTTTTTGAATGTAGCTGCCCACTTTTCCCAACACTGTTTATTGAAGAGACCATCTTTTCTCCCACTGTATACTCGCTTTCTTTGTCATAGATATATTACCCATATATACGTGCGGTTTTCTTCTGGGCTCTCTGTTCTATTCCATTGATCTGTGTGTCTTTTTTGTGCCAGTACCAGACTATTTTGATTACTATAATTTTATAGTATAGTTCGAAATCAGGGAGTGTGAAACCTTCAGTTTTCTTCTTTTGCAAGATGGCTTTGTCTGTTTGGGTCTTTTGTGGTCCATACAGATTTTAGGATTCTTTGTTCTATTGCTGTGAAAAATGCCTTTGGCATTTTAATGGGGATTGCAGTGAATCTGTAGATTGCTTACCGTAGTATAGACATTTTAACAATATTCTCCCAGTCCATGAGCACAGAATATCTTTGTATTTATTTGTATCTCCTTCAGTTTCTTTCATCAGATTCTTAGAGTTTTCAGAGTACAAGTCTTTCACCTCCTTAGTTAAGTTTATTCCTAGGTATTTTATTCTTTTTTGATGCAATCATACAAGGGATTATTTTCTTAATTTCTCTTTCTGATAGCTTGTTATTAGTGTATGGAAATGCAACCAATTTCTGTTTGTTGATTTTGTGTCCTTTGAGTTTACCGCAGGCGTTTATCAGTTCTAGTAGTTTTTTGGTGCGGTCTAGAGTTTTCCATGTATAGTATCATGTCATCTGCAAATAGTGACAGTTTTACTTCTTTCTTTCCAATTTGGCTGCATTTTATTTCTTTTTCTTGCCTAATTGCTGTGGCTAGAACTTCCAGTACTATGTTGCATAAAAGTGGCAAGAGTAGGCGTCCTTGTCTTATTACTGATCTTAGAGGAAGAGCTCTCAGTTTTTCACCATTGAGTATGATGTTTGCTATGGGTTTGTCGTAGATGGTCTTTATTATGTTGTGGTACATTCCTTCTAGACCCACTTTGTTGAGAGTTTTTATCATTAAGATTTCCTTTTAAGTGGGGTGCCTGGGTGGCTCAGTCGTTAAGCGTCTGCCTTCGGCTCAGGTCATGATCCCAGGGTCCTGGGATCGAGCCCCACATCGGGCTCCCTGCTCAGCGGGGAGTCTGCTTCTCCCTCTCGCACTCCCCCTGCTTGTGTTCCCTCTCTCGCTGTCTCTCTCTCTCTGTCAAATAAATAAGTAAAATTAAAAAAAAAGATTTCCTTTTAAGTGATCCATTTCATTGGGATTTTCATATTTATTCCCTATAATTGAATACAGTATTTTCATAATTTTTAATTCCCTGTGTTCTTTCTCTATTTTTTTATTGATCAAACTTGCTAGAGATTTGTCTATCTTATTATAAACAACCAGCCTTCGATTTATCTGTCATTTCCATTCTTTTTTGACTAATCGATTCATTCACTTCTGCTTCTCTATTGATTCTTCCCTCACCTTCTTTAGATCTACTTTATGTGTGGTAGGCAGGTTTGTATAAATAAACGGTGATCTAGCAAGAGCCCAAGTTTATTAACTTCCAGGTCATGACCACCCACATTGTAGAACTCTGGATGCTCTACTACCTTCTCCAACTCCCCGCCAGTCCAGTGCTCCTCAACCCCCCAGTTCTAGCTCTGTGCTCTTGAATTACACCCTCCTGACCAAAACTCTACCATCTATTCAACTTGAACCCTGTTCCTCCCTCTTCCAAATTCACAGTGTAGGGAAGTTGTCTATATAAGTTATTATTCCTTTCCTCTCTGAACCAAATGGAGTCAGAGAAGGGAGATTCACTTCCCTGCTCTAAGCAGCCCTCTAGATATGCCTTACCTAGAGCCCCATTTACTTCCTCCATCCCAGTGGCCTGATCTGCGACAAGACTCTTCTGTCACACCTTGGAACTCTTCTCCAGAACTGCCAACAGAGAAACTGGGAAATGACTCACATTGTGGTGGTGTTGGGTCTCTGTGTGGTTTGTCACACGGTGCCTCTGTGTTTTTGTTACAGAAACAGCTCTGGGATATTTTCAAGGTGGGTTCATGCCCTTTGCTGACTGTCCATTTGGCTTTCTTCTCAGACCCCCAGCTTTGCCCTGTAGGTGAACCAGAGGAAAGATTTGAAACTCAGACTGAGTTAATCAGACCACTAGCAGCCTCCTAAGGAGTTTTGAGAGGAGTTGCACAGTCCATTTCTCACAACGAGGCAATGGAGTTTTTGCCTTTGTCCTCCGCCTTCCCAAGAAGAGATCACTAGAATACTTGCTCACATTCCAGGATTAGCAGTATTACCTCCTTCTACATAAGCATCAATGTGTTCTATCTCTGCTCCCAAGAAAAACCTCTCTCCTAAAGTATAGGGACACTTTCTTTTATCAGACAATAGGAGCTTCCAGATACCTTTGGGGAAATGTAGTGGCCTGCTTTAGGAGGAATCCATCTTCCACCTTCCCAAAAGGTGTGTGTTGAGTGTAATATCCAGGTAGGTGCCTTTACATAAGCTAATTGGAAGCCGTTTTGGAAATACGTAGAGTAAAATATGTGGATAGGTAAGAGCCCTCAATTCCACTGAAAATGATAATTATTTTATTTCCTGGGCCCAGAGCTAGGGGTAAGAGGAAAGATCCTCCAGACAATCTTCACTTCCTCCAGGAACCTCCCCCGACAGCCCACTTAAGAAAGGCCAGAGATCTGTGGCGAGTGCTAACACCTTGCCCACCCGTGTTCTTCTGATGAGTGGGAGGACACATCCTCAGCCCTGAACTTGACTGCCAGGGCTCATGGCTGAGCCAAGGAGGACACACTTGCCTTTCACCCATGGCGGAGGGGTGGGATGTGCGAAGTGGAGAAATAACAGTGATCCACTGGAAAATCAATGGACTTCCCTGGAGTGCTGATGTAATTAGTAGCCCTGCCCGTCAGTGACCATAAGTGCTTTGTGAAGCACCTTCTGCAAAAAATTAAGCCCTTGTCCAATGGCTTTCCAATAACAGAAATAATATATTTGATTTTTATTCATTCAGAAATAAATGTGCAGTGGCTCTTGCTCTTCACGTGTAGCAGCTGAACAGCATTCAATATCTGGATGTCTTTCTGATCAGATTTAGAATAATGGTGAAAGCCATGAATTACAGGGCACAAAGCCTGACATGTTTATTGCTTACAAATCATTTTATAGCCCTTTCTTCGAGGGCTTGATCTGCTGAACAGGATGACTGTGAGCTAGTAACAAAGAGAACTCCAGAGTCACGTCTCGGTTCACCCCCCTGGAGCAGGTGTCGTGGCCAGAGCACGGGCCCGAGGCCAGGTGAGGGCCCTCTCTGACCAGCACCAACTTCATCTGCAGTGCCACCAGTCATCCGCGTGTATCCAGAGACCCAGGCACAGGAGCCCGGTGTGGCGGCCAGTCTGAGATGCCACGCAGAGGGCATTCCTATGCCCAGAATCACTTGGCTGAAAAATGGCATGGATGTCTCCACCCAGATGTCGAAACAGCTTTCTCTATTAGGTAAGAACCACCCTCGGTGCCTCTCTGCTCTTTCCATCAAGTTTAAGCTGACGCTTCCCCCAGCAGTGGAAATGAGAGACATGATTTGTTTCTAAGTCAGATGTTTCGGGAGTGAACAAACGTCTCCCCAAATTCTCCTGCTATCGGGGCTCACACAGGTCTTGCAGGCTTTTTGAGCACAATGATGATAACCCGTCAGTTAGATCCCAGGTCAGCGTCAGTTTAGTTCAGCTGTTTGAGCTCTTTCTGGGCGTGTATCATGGATGTTGGCTGCCCTCAGCCCTGCCAAGGGCCTGCACTCTGAATAGAATGGAGACAGGAGGGAGGAGGGGGTCCCAGCTGAGCAGGTCATCCTGAGCACTGTCCTTCCTCCAGCCAATGGGAGCGAACTCCACATCAGCAGTGTTCGGTATGAAGACACAGGGGCGTATACCTGCATCGCCAAAAACGAAGTGGGCGTGGATGAAGATATCTCCTCACTTTTCATCGAAGACTCGGCTAGAAAGACCCGTGAGTCCGCTCTTGCCTCTGAGGTCCTCGTTGCGCTGATTGGGGGATGCTGGGTGCAAGGGGACCAACTGACCAAGGCCACACCCTCATCCATGAGCCCCTGAAGACAGGGGTAAACTCCCATATTCTTTGCTCAAAGCTGGGGACAGAGGGTGCCCAGAGGTGAGCAGACCTGCCCTGGCAACCTCGACAACACACAGACAGAGAAGGTCCCTGGACAGCAGAGAGTGCCCAGGACCACAAGGAAGCTTGCATATCCTAGCCCCACTTCTGCCTCCTCCTTGCTGTATAGACTGGAACCTCTGCCCCTCACCCACAAAATTCCTCCTACTCTCCACCCACCAGTCAGTGTTGCAGATTCCATATATGATAGACTAGATATCAGTTCATGATCTATATCACATGCTGCCATCCCACCATGGCCCAGGAAGTGGCCCGGCCACACTTGCACACATAACCTTGAGGCCAGGGATTATAGCCCACCTGGTGGCCAAGTATGCCTTCCCTGGTAGCCACCGCTCCCCAAATGGCTCTGCAGGCATGATTCCATGGACACGGGTGATAGATAGGATCTCTTGCCCTTATTCAAAAACTCCAAGCTGAGTCTTCATCATCAAAGGAGATCATTAGAAGTGTTTCAGATGGTCTTCCTAGGAGAATCCTAGTTGAAAAGCAGCATGGCTTCTGGAAGTAATCAGGAACTCTAGGAGAGCGGTTGCTTGCTCCTTGTCAACCACAGCAGTGGAGGATCCCATTAGTTTCCATGATCCTGGGGACCTGATTTCAAAGACTATTTAGAAATTGAAAAGGTCCCGAGACCTGGAAACATGTGTCCACATCCAGAGTCCCATCAGCGCGCTGCTGCTGGGGCGGAGAGTGGGGCAGACTCCACACACGGTGGATTAGGGAGCCGTTCGTCCCTGAAAGGAATCACGACAGTAAAGTTGCTGACATTGTTTTGTTCTCTTTTCCTTCCCCCAATCACGTTCCCGCGCTCCTGATTCTCTGACGCTGCAGTGGCAAACATTCTGTGGCGAGAGGAAGGTACCAAGCTCACTTCTTTTGTGTTGTGCTTGTGATCGCCTGTGTTCGTGCCTCCATTGTGAGGCCCTATGTCCATGGGCCACGATCAGCTTGTCCAGACACCACGCAGTCCCCACAGGTGGGGCCCACCTGCCAGACCAGATGGGAGGGGGGAGGTCAATTGTCAAACTCAAGCGTCACACACTGAGAAGCAGATTTAAAACCTACTAGTGTCTTTAATGGACACCAGTCCATTAGAACTTAAAAGTAGGAAGTTGCCATCTGAAGCTGTTTGAAACTGTCCCTGAAGCAGATTACTTGGCAGGGGTTCCTAGTTGGATGAGGCCTTCAGCTTTTTTCCAGAAGCTGATATTGGTGTTGGGGTTTAGTGTATACTTTGAGGAAATGCCAAAGAAAAAAGCCACCATGATTTCTGTAAATGTATATTTACATGTATATTTTTAAATGAATAGACTTTTTTTTTAAGATTTTATTTATTTATTTGACAGAGAGGGACAAAGCAAGAGAAGGAACACAAGCAGGGGGAGTGGGAGAGGGAGAAGCAGGCTTCCCGCGGAGCAGAGAGACCGATGCGGGGCTCAATCCCAGGACCCTGGGACCTTGACCTGAGCCGAAGGCAGACACTTAACGACTGAGCCACCCAGGCGCCCCTGAATAGACTTTTTTAAATTTGTATTTATCAAACCATCTTTAGATATTAGGTTGGGCCCTAAAAAAAAAAAAATGGCCATTCTTATACATCAAAAATGGTCAAATACTGACAATTTCATGTGGTTCAAAAAATAGCAGGCCCATGTGGGAACTGGGTTATAGAGCCTGAGTCACTGCTTGGGGTGCATGTGCCTTTGTGAACCCCAGCCCAGGGCAGCCCCTCCACCAGAGCAGAGTTCACATCACCTGGAGATAACTTATTCTCCAGGTTAGTGGATGGTGGTGTCAGGGAGGAGTATGAGAAGTGGCAGAATGCACCCTGTGATTTCAGGGTTAAGCACAAAATCTACCTCTTTAAAAGCTGGCCTGGGGGGCACCTGGGTGGCTCAGTTGATTAAGCAGCTGCCTTCAGCTCATGTCATGATCCTGGGGTCCTGGGATCGAGTCCCGCATCAGACTCCTTGCTCAGTGGGTAATCTGCTTCTCTCTCTGCCTGCCGCTCCCCCGGCTTGTGCTCTCTGACAAATAAATTTAAAAATCTTAAAAAAAAAAACAAATGAAAGCCGGCCTAGTTCCTGTCTCGTTTTTTCCTCATGAACATCTCATGGCATTTCCTAGAGCCTAGCATATGCGCGTACTCAGAACAATTTCCTGAACGTCAGGCACTGCTGCCCACAGTCCATCTCAGCAAAACAAAAGCAGAGCCTGAGAAATGAGAATGGATGCCAGTAGGCTTTAGGGTTCCTTGGAAGAACAGGTTGTAGCGATGGCCACTCATCATGGACAGCTGTCCCTCGGCGGTGCGTGACCTAGCTCCTAGGCCACAATGCACGCAGAGCGCTTTCCCTCTGTGTCCTTGAGAGGTGGTAATTTTCTAAAGTGAGTTTACTACCAAGAGGCTCAAGTTTCAAAAGTGGAGCCCAGCAAAGAATGCAGGAGGCCCTGGGGTGTGTGAAATGCAGCCATAGAGGCCCCACCTTGAGGCCAACTTAAGACCCCCGGCCACTTTCGGGCTCCGGGCTGGCAGGTGCTGCCTTCATTGTGGACAGCGCAGCAGCAAACAAATTCCATCCTGCCCGGACAGCCAGCTGCCTGTACCCTTCACAGCTGGAACCCAGAGCTGGGGGTTAGGAAACACCGGAGCGTAACTCAACAGGCCGGCAGGGAACCGTCCCCTCTCAACAAGAGAAATGAGACAATCGGGGCGTACCACAGCAAAGAAAGCTTCTTCGTGCCCCCTTAGGAGAAGCGACGCTCAGACAGAACCTTCCAGGGGCCGGATCATGAGGCTGGCTCTCCTGTGAAGTCAGTTGTTTGTCGAGGCCCGCATTCTGTTGCTGACGATGAGCAAGGCTGTGCTTCGCCTGCCATGTGGCCACAGCTGCAACCCCACATGGAGTCCCCCGAGCTTTCAGTCTTGCACTGGTCCTTGCAGCTGTCGATTTCCCAAGAGGCCCCTGGAGGCCGAGGGACCCCCAGGGACAGGGATTTTGACTCATAGGTCTGAGCAAAAGAAGTTTGCCAGGTGAGAGTGGACAGAGAGAAGGCCCCACAGGGGCAAGATAGATGGGGACAGAGCACATACGGGCCAGAAGCTGGGATGCCCTGGAAGCTGAGACAGGGCCCTCGTGGGTGGCCCCTTTATGTAGCTCTTGGGGACAGGCTGCCCAGCACCCCAGGTTCCCCACTGGGACCTGTGCAGGGTGCTCCCAGGCACGGCTAGCTTCTCAGAGGTTGGGGTCCAGTTGTGCCCAGTGGCAGAGCCCTCCTGCCCAGAGCCCCTCTCAGCATAGAACCAGCAGCAGCTAAGACTGTGTCATGGAGTCAGGGACCTTGATCCACACTGGGAACCCCAGGCACTGGGGCTTCCTGGTCAGTAAGGGCCCGAGGCCCAGAAAATTGCCTGCAGCCATTGGAAGCAGGTGGAATGTTGGCTCCTATTTCATGTTACATTGTTTTCTAACACTAAAAACTTACCCAGATAGTCAGTGAAGTCACTAGCTGGGTTTCTGAGCATGCTAGGAAAGAGTGTGTTTTTCATGTATTTAATTTTCTTAGCATTTATGGAAATCTGTTGACTATCCTACCCTCACAAGAAAAAAAGTGAGGGAGAAAGAAAGGGAGAACTCAAACCTTAACTATTTTTGTGCCATGTTTACCCTTTATGTTGAGGCACAGTGATGCAGAAGAGCCCGGAGTAGGGGTTCAGGGTCTAGCCCCAGCTCTGACATAAATCCAAGTAGCCTCTAGCAAGCCCCTTCCCTTCCTTGGACCTCAGTTTTTTTGTGTTTATAATAAGGAGGCGGTACTAGCTCCTCCCACGGCCCTTTCTCTGCTAGTCTGAAATTTCTCCCCGCCGACCACAGCAACCACACCAGGGCGGTGGTGGGAGCAGGCGGGTGGGCCTGACCAGGCTGTGGGTCCATTGCCTGACCTGGGGCTGCCACAGAGAAATGGGTGAGGCAGAGGTGGGAGCAGAAATCAGGGAGCAGCTAGCAGGCTGTCTTGAAGGGGGGTCTGCTGGCACTGACAGGCCAGGATGAAATTGGCACAAAGGAGCGGCAGCCACAGCTTTGTCAGGACCCTAAGTTCCAGGGAGTGGTGTTGTATATAAATGTGTTTTAAAAAAAAAAAGAGCTAGCCTTTGCCTTTCTGGCATGATCTGATCCATCTGATTTGACTAGTTGACAACAAACGACCAAGGGAGACTCTTTCAGAACAGGAAAGACCAAATGTAGGTCAGAGCCAAGGCTATCATTCATTTGAAACCTTCTGTTGGTGGCCCGCCCAGGGCGCCCTAGGGCAGAAGCGCATGTCCAGGAGGATAGCCTGGGGATCGCAGAGCCTTCATCTGCTGTAGTGATTCACAGCCCTCTGGCACTTTCTCCCCATGCTGCCCACACACCACCTGCTCATCTCACATCACCTCAACCGGTGCCTGTACCCCACGCAGACAAACCGCAGGTGTCATATGTGCCCCATGTGGCACGTGACCCTACCTTGGAGCTAGCCGCTGGGGACAGGGGAGCATAACCATGGCCGTGTTTACTCCTCACAGGCCTCAGTGTGGGGAACATGTTCTACGTCTTCTCGGACGATGGCATTATCATCCTGCACCCCATGGACTGTGAGATCCAGAGGCACCTCAGACCCACGGAGAAGATCTTCATGAGCTACGTAAGTGTCCGTGCTTGCAAGTCGGTCTTCCATGACTGCCCCCTTGACTTCCGAGACTCCATCTGCTGCATGTGGGGTAGTTCCACATGTGTTCCAAAGCTCCAGAAAGTCCACGGAAGGCTAAGAGTTGAAGGTCTCATTCCTTGATTGGGCCTTTGGTGCACAGAGCCCTCGGTGAGGCCTAAGGCTTACAGGTGGGTTTCTCTTCTCCCCAAGTTCATAGAGAAGGGATGGCGACAGCAGTGTGAACAGACAGCCCAAAAGGTGCTGCTAGAAGGAGGTGCAAGGTGCACTGGGGACACTGAAGCGTGAGGCCTCTCCAGACCCGGGGAGGACAAAGTCAGAGAAGGCTCCCGAGCAGGGGACCCCTGGGCTCAGTTGTGAAGAACAAGTAGGAACTGGGGATGGGTCTCTAAAGGGAATGTCATGAACATGGCAAAAGGTGGCATAAAATGTCTTGTCACATCCGGCAATCGCAGATACTTGGTCTGACTGAGATTAGGATGAATGTAGGTCAGGGTCAAAGCTAAGGAGTTTTAATGGTAGATCTTAAGAGTTCTGGGGACCCCTGGAGGACTTCAAGTGATGCCAGGCCCTGGTGGGGCTGCTTTAGAACATGTGCGGGGCCCCAGTGAGGGTAATGATGAGCAGGACTGGATTGGAAGCCCAGAAGCAGGTGCAGAGGCTGTTGTGAGCACCCATGTGAGAAAGGGTAGTGACCTAGCCAAGCCAGGGGCAGTGGCAAGGGGAAAAATCGATTGTAGTGTTATTCACAGGTAAGATCAACAGGCACCACGAGGGTCATCTGGGGTCTTGCTAGGAGGAGCAGAGTGCCCTTCACTCAGGAGGAGGAGAGGCAGGTTAGGGGGGCACAGTTCATTCTTTCACTCTATGAGGCCCTGTACAGAGGCCACATTCTCCGTCTCGTGCTGGGGATCCCCAAAGCAGAGCAGATAGGCTCTTCATCAAGGAGATGAGGGTGGCCTATAATGTAGTGAGTTTAAGATGCCCATGGGACGCAAGCATAGAAACATCCAGAAGATGGGGATGGGCCGTGGTGGGCTGGAGAGTCGTCGGCTCTCTGGCAGGCAAAAGAAGTAGCTTTAAGGAAGCCTGGAGAACATGGGTCACAGAACCTAAGGATAGCAAAGTTTATAAAAGGAAGGGGTCTTCAACAAGTCAATAGAGGACGTAAGTTGCAAGGTTCTCAGGGGCCCCAGAGGAACAAGGGGAGAGAGCATGAAACACAAGAATGCCCCAAGCATCAGAGGTGCTATGAAGCATGAGACCAAAAGCAGAGCTGCCATGCCACATGGACAGAGGCTGCAGAGGTGACTGCTGGTGGCAGATCCAGGAAAGCCTTTCTAGCCCTCCAGACCCAGCTGTCCACAGGCATCCCCTAGACAGTGCTTCGTCACCCGACCCCACCCCAGGGCTCTGTCCCTCCCATTGGTTTCTCTCTTGTGTTGGTGGTTGCCTGCATAAGGTAGACCCTTAGCTACTTGATGGTAGAATTACATTAACCCAAAAGAGTCCTCTGCAGGCCCTCCTGGGCCCCTCCTCGAGGACATGCAGTGAAGGAACTGGTGAGCAGCGACGGGCCCGGAGCTCGTAGTGGAAGTGGGCCACACCCAGGCGGGTTCCTGCAGCCAGCTTGTTGCATTCCTGTGCTGGCTCTTGGTAGGTCTCAGGCTCTTGCTTCTCTCACATTTGTAGCTCTGGAACAGCTGTTTTCTGGGCTGTTTCATTTGAATTAATCATTTTTTAGATATGCTACCCTTGATGAATTTTCCTTCCACGTAGTAGCCGTGAAACCATCTAGAAAGAGTGGTCCTAGTTAATTTCTAGCAGTTAGGTTTAAATAATTGCACCCTGTCACATGGGCACTAATTTCTCATAGATTTGCAATAACCTGTAGCTCGAGGGAAATCTCTGAAAACGTAACCACGACTCACATTTCCTAAAAAGCCAGAACGAGTCACAGTAGGAGAGGCCCCACAGGCCTTTCAGACAGCGCAAGACCATGGTGAGCTAGGTGACAGTCCCAAATAACCGTGTTCTCCTCTAGAAAATGCCCCACCATCTCCCAAGAGGGTTGCCATGAAGCGAGCCTCTGGTCAAAGCACTGAACGAGTAGATTAGTGCTTCTCTCAGGTGTCTCTGCTGGATGAGGGGTCCACTCTGGGCAGTGGGAAGCAGCACATGTAGTAGGCAGGGACACAGGCACCCCTGGATTCACATCCCACCTCTATCACTCAGCAAGACTGAATGGCTTTAGACAAGTGACCTAACCCCTCCAAGCCTCTGTTTTCTCACATGTGAATGGGGGTGGTTGTGAGGATTGAATGTGATGCCGGGCAGTGACCAGGGTAGAAGGTGACAGTTCTGCCCCAAAGCTATTGCAGTCATTTAGGAAAAACCTGGAAAGTAGATGAACTCAGGGAATGAGGAGGCCATCTCTGTAGTCCTTGGTGACTCATTTGTGGCAGACTGTAGGGGAGAAGGAAGCAGCAAGGGTGATGGTCATGCTTGGTCCTGGCTGGCCAGCTGCTGATGAAGACCCGGTGGGAGGGGCAGGTATGGAAGAGAGGAACAGCTCAGCGTGGCTGGCTGAGTATGAGGGGGCTGTGGGAGAACCAAGCAGGCACTAGAGAAGGTAGTTCTGAGCTAAAGACACAGATCTGGGATCCATCTGCATCTGGGCTTTGGCTAAAATCAGGGCAGTAGACGAGACCGCCAATGGTGTGTGTGAGTGGTTTGAGTTGGGTACCTGAACAGAACCCTGGGGGTCAGTAGTTACAGGACAGGCAGACCAAGAGGGACCCCAAGGAGACTGAGACAGAGCTGGGCCAGAGTCATGATGAAACACATGAGACTATCACAGAAGATAAGGGAAAAGATGGTCCCCATTTTCAATCATTTATTCATTCAACAAACATATTTGAGGCACCCATTCTATGTCAGGCACTTTACTAGGTGCTAAGGATATAGCAGTGAAGTAGATAGACAAAGAGCCCACTGTCACAGAACATTCTAGTAACCAAAGAGGGCCTAAACGGAGGTAGACAGATCAGTGCACAAAGTTAAGTGGAAATGACAAACGCAGCCAGGTACGGAGGTAAGGCATGCTGGCAGTGCCAGGCCAATGAAGAGGGGCAGGAGGGTGGCACAGGGGAAGGAAAGCAAGCATGCCATGTGCATGGAGCACAGTGGGTAAGGGAGAGAAAAGCCGAAGCTCCGCAGAATAGCAGGAGCCAGAGGGGGCAGGGCCTTGCAGACTTCCGGAAAGACCTGGATCCTCTTCTGAGCAAGAAGGAGTGTTAATGGAGGGGAGGGTGCTGAGATGAGGAGGGAGGTGGGCAGACTTACGGCGATGCCCGTGGATTCTGTGTTGAGAACAGGTGGGCGGGGGTGGCCAGGGTAGAATCAAGGGGTACAGCCTGGGTGCTACCGCAGTGCTCGAGCAACAGTGTGGCCTGATTTGCAACGACGTGGATGGACCTGGAGGGTGTTCTGCTGAGTGAAATAAGTCCATCAGAGAAAGACATGTATCATAGGACCTCACTGATATGAGGAATTCTTCATCTCAGGAAACAAACTGAGGGTTGCTGGAGTGGTGGGGGATGGGAGGGATGGGGTGGCTGGGTGATAGACATTGGGGAGGGTATGTGCTACGGTGAGCGCTGTGAATTGTGCAAGACTGTTGAATCACAGATCTGTACCTCTGAAACAAATAATGCAATATATGTTAAGAAAAAAAAAAAGATAGGAGGGGAAGAATGAAGGAGGGGTAAGCCGGAGGGGGAGACGAACCATGAAAGACGATGGACTCTGAAAAACAAACTGAGGGTTCTAGAGGGGAGGAGGGTGGGGGGATGGGTTAGCCTGGTGATGGGTATTAAAGAGGGCACGTTCTGCGTGGAGCACTGGGTGTTATGCACGAACAATGCATCATGGAACACTACATCCAAAACTAATGATGTAATGTATGGTGATTAACATAACAATAAAAAATTTAAAAAAAAAACAACTGTGTGGCCTGAGCCCAGGTGATGGAGGTGGGAGCAGTGAGGCAAAGTCAAATTCTGAATGTATTTTGAAGGCAAAGCTGAAATGATGTTTGATGCACCGGATGAGGGCCGAGGGGATGAGAAGAGGACTCGAAGGTGGCCACGAGGGTTTTGGGCTAAGGAAGTAAAACAGTGGAGCTGCCATCTTGTTAAGGGAATGAGCAGGATTGGGAGGTAAAATTGGGCATTGATTTTGGACTCACAAGTTTGAGGTGTACAGCAAACAGCTAAGTATAGTTAGGTGGTTGGCTGCTTAAGTCTGGAGTTCGGAGAAGAGGCTCTAACGAAAGATACAAATTTGGGAGTTGTAAGCATGTCGACGGTATTTGATGCCATAGGTTGGGATGAGATTAGCAAAGGGAGTGGATTTTGGAGAGGAAAAGTCGTTGAGTGACCGCTGTGTGTTCCAACCCAGAGAGATGGCAAACTGAGCAGGATCAAACAACAGAGAAGGCCCAGCCCCTGGGACGGGGTGGTGGGGTTGGCGGGGGAGGGGGGAGAAGCAAGGAGTAGTCAGCAGAGTCAGATGACACCCCAAGTTCGAATAAAAAGGCGACACAGGTTTAATTTAGTAAATGAGAAGTACGGAGTATTGAGCTCGGTGGGAACACTGCCGGCTCTGTGGTGAGGAAGCAGAGAGGGTAGGTCACTCTTTTGGAAGTCTGGCCATGGACGGAAGTTTTCTAGATGATGGGGATGCGGAGAGGGGGGAGTTCGCACACGAGGGGGGAGGAAGGCAGGCCTGGCGGCTGCCGCTACAAAAAAACACAAATACACACACAAAGGGAAGTTCCAGCCTCGTAAGTGGGAGGAGGTGGAAGGTGAGGAGGAGGAAGGTGGAAGGTGGAGGTAGGAACAGAGGGAGGGGGGGGGGGGGGGGGAGAGGGAATCCACACATGGCAGGCGGGCCGGGGGATTAAGAAGATATATGGCAGCCTATCTCCTTTACAGGAAGAAATCTGTCCCCAAGCGGAAGGAAATGCCACCCAGCCATGCCAGTGGGCCTCAGCCGTGAACGTCCGGCACCGGTATATCTATGTGGCCCAGCCAGCACTGAACAGAGTCCTCGTGGTCGACGTGCAAGCCCAGAAAGTTCTACAGGTACATCTCTCTAAGGGAGTGAGGGGGGCTTCCGGTTCCGGGGCACAGCCTGCCACAGTCCTCTTGGCTTTCTGCCCCCTGCCCAGCTCCTTGGAGAGGCGGTCAGACTGGGGACCAGGGGCGGAGAGCAAAGAAGGTTCACGTGCAGCTACTCAGCAGTATTGATGGCCTACTATGTGCCGAGCACTGTTCTAGGGCCTTGGAAAACAGCCACGAATGAGCAGTCAAGTGCTAGATCCTATATTCTAGTCTGGGAGACAGACGGGAAATCAGAATGTTAGAGAACTCTAAATTCTAAGTTCTATTTACAGGTCAGATGTGACAAAGGAATTGGATGACTGTTTCAAATCGGCCCTTGCTCTGGAGGTGAACAGATTCTGAGATCTAAACGCCAAGTGGGATTCCCATTCTGGGAGCAGAGGGTGGGCCGGAGGCTCTGGAGGACAGTGAGGAGCGGGGAGCGCAGGGAATGGTGAAGGGGGAGGTAAAGCACAGCCCAAACCACGAAGGGTTTTCATCCGGGGAGTGACCTCATCTGACTTAGATTATGAAACAGTCAGGCTCCGTTAAGAACCGATGGAACACCACGTCAAAAACTAGTGATGTAATGTATGGTGATTAACATAACAATTAAAAAAAAAGAACCAATGGCAAAGCACAGCAGCGTCGTGGCTACTGAAATAATTCAGGCATGAACTGCAGATGGCCGTGGAGGTGGCAGGAACTGATCAGATTCTTGATAGATTTTAAATGTGGAAAGATTTTCTGCTGCATTCAATGTAAGTTTGAGAGAGAGGAAATCAGGTTGTTGGGAGTTTTCTTTACCTTGAGGAATGGTAGAATGGTGATGCCATTTACTGTGTGTGGTGGATTGAATAGTGGCCCCAAGATGCCCAGAACCTATGAGTGTCACCTTCTCGGGCACAGGGGACTCTGCAGAGGTGATTAAGGATGTGTAAATGGACCATTACCGGGGATGACCTGGATGAGCCTACCTCCTACCTCAATGCAAGTGCAAGTACCCATATCAGAGGGAGGCAGGGAGAACTGTGCCTGTGTAGGGAGGGGAGTATCTGCATCACTGAAGTAGGCAGGGGTCAGTGGAATCCAGGGCAGAGAAGTAGAGGTGCCACTGGGAGGACTGAACCACACTGGGGCTCTGCTGGCTTTGGAGATGGGGGAAGGGGCCATGAGCCAAGGACTGCAGGGCTAGAGGCTGGCAAAGTCAAGGAAACACATTCTTCCCTAGCGCCTCTAGAGCGGGCACTGCCCTGCAGCCATCCCTATTCAGCCCAAGGAAATTAATTTTGGACTTTGAGCCTCAGAACTGTAAGAGAATTAAATCTCTGTGGTTTTAAGCCACTCAGTTTGTGGTACTAGGTTATCATAGCAACAGGAGAGTAATGTACTCTACAGAGACTTCGGGAAAGGCAGGGGGTGCAGGCCATGGAGCAGGAAGACGAGAAAATTAGGAATTTGGGTTTAGACCTGCCAAGTGTAAACTGCTATTATAAATGTTAGCTGGGGCGTCTAGGTGATTTCTTCAGTTGAGCGTACGACTCTTGATTTCGGCTCAGGTCATGATCTCCGGGCTGTGGGATTGAGCCCCATGTCAGGCTCTGCATTCAGCAGTGAGTCTGCTTCTCCCTCCCCCTCTGCCCCTCCTCCACACTCATGCTCTCACGTTCTCTCTCTAAATCTTTAAAAATAAAAATAAAAATGTAAGTAGAGATGTCAAATAAGCAATTGGATAAACGGGTCTGGAGGCCAACGAGAGATCTAGGCCAGAGAGGTCAGTGTGGGTATTGTCACCATACCAACTGTTAAATCCAGAGAAGCAGATGAAATCACTGAAGGTAATACGGATAGGGAAGAGGTCAAGGTTGGAGCTCTGAGGCACCCCAACACTTAAAGATCAGGAAGGAGAGAAGAAGCCAACAAGGACACCAAGCAGGAGGAGCCTGAAAGGTAGGAAGAAAATTGGGGCTGGGGCAAGGGGAGAGCTGAGGGTTCCAGAAACCAAAACCAAGAGTGTCTTAAGGAAGAGTTTGCAGTTAGTGGTGTCTGATATAGGTGAGCATTTGCAGATCATGGATCCTAAGAATCAGCCATTGGATTTGGTATCCCATGGATCACCTTGCCAGGAGCAGATAGCATGATCATAGAATCCAAGCTTGAGGTCATAGAGATGGTGAATAGAGACAAGCATTTTGAGGGGGTTTGCTGTAAATATGGGTAAAAGGAGCCAAATGAGGCAATAGGTAAGAGCATACTGAAGAAGCTTCTTTAGAATAGGTGATGTTACAGCATTGGTATGCATGTATGTATGTAATGCTGGGGGGAAAAAAACTCCCACACATCTTCCCCTTCTTCTGCATCACTGAAGTAGGCAGGAGTCAGTGGAATCCAGGGCAGAGAAGTAGAGATGCCAGCTTTGGATAAAAGCACATTCTTTCACATAACAGAAGGAAATGGAAAATATTCAAGTACACTTACAAAGAGGTGACAGTTAACAATGGGTGGCAGGTGGACGAACATTTCTTGTGGTTGCTTTTATTTCCTCAGTGAAATAAGAAGGAAAATTATCACCCAGCCTGGAGGTTTGAAGAGGGAGGTGAAGGGCGCATTTGAGATTGAACTGACCAGGGCACTGTGCTAGGACTGCTGGGTGAAAGCAAAGGCCCACTGAGGGCTTGCGGATGTAAAGAGAAAGTGAGGCCGGTGAGCAGGGTTGTGGTTTTTCTTCCCAGCAATGCCCCAGTGCATGCTCATTGTAGGGGGAAATGTGGATGTAACCAGGGTTTTGGTTTCTCCAGCCCAGTTGGGCAGAAGGCTTTCTGTTAGTGATTTTTCTGACCAGTGAACATACTCTGAGTAATATCAATCCTTTGAAATTCGTTGAAGCTTGCTTTATGACCCAGCTTAGAATCAATGTGATAAAAATGTTTCATTTGCACTTTAAAAGAATGTGTGTTCTAATGGTAGGTACAGTATTCTGTATACATGTCCAATTATGTCAAGATTGTTCATTGCATTGTTCAGATCTTCTAAGTCATTTTTCTTTAAAGATTTTATTTATTTGACAGAAAGAGACACAGCGAGAGAGGGAACACAAGCAGGGGGAGTGGGAGAGGGAGAAGCAGGCTTCCCGTGGAGCAGGGAGCCCGGTGTGGGGCTCGATCCCAGGACCCTAGGACCCCAACCCGAGCCGAAGGCAGACACCTAATGACTGAGCCACCCAGGTGCCCCATAAGTCATTTTTTTCTTTGTCCACTTAGTCTATCAGCTGCCGAGAGGTGTGTTGAAGTCTCACACCGTGATTGTAGGTTTATCTAAATTCCATCCATTTTTGCTTTAAAACTGTAGTAACTTCCTGGGTCAAAGACTTCTTCATTCTTACAAATTATCTCTATTTCTGGCTATGCTTTTGCCTGAAAGTCTGTTTTTGTCTGATACGAGGACAGACAGATCAGATTTCTTTTGATTAGTGTTAGCTGTATTTTTTCTATCCTTTCACTTCCAACCTTTCGATGTCCATATATTTAAGGTGGTCTTTTTTAAAGCTACATGTGTTTGGGTTTTAGCCTTTATCTAGTATAATAATCTCAGTCTTTTACTTGGATCATTTGATCCATTTATATTTAATGCAGTTAATTATATAGTTAAATCTACCATCTTACCGGTTTCTTATTTGACCTGTTTGTTCTGCTTCTTCCTCCTTTTTACTCTCTTTGGGATTAGTCAATTATTATTCTGTTATTGTTAGGACTGCCATAGAGATTATAACATGCATCCCTGCCTCAATACAGTCACATATAATTAATGATGTCACTTCTCCAATAACGATAGAACCGTGTAACAGTAACTCCTTTAACTCCTCGCCTGCCTTTTGCATGATTGTGGGAATAAATTTTATCTCCATATATATAATTGAACCCCACAAGACCTGACTTAATATTTTGTACACTTGGCAGTCATTTATATTCACCCACATATTTACTTTTCTCACTGCTCCTTATTCCTTCCTGAAGTACACAGTTTTGTCTGGGATCATTTTCATTGTGACAAAAGACTTTTTTAAATAGTTGTTTTAGTGAAGATCTGCTGGCAACACAGTTTTTGTTTGGTTGAAAGGACCTTTATTTGCCCTTTATTTTTAAAGATTATTTTCACTGGATATAGAATTCTACCTTGACAATTCTACTTGCTCAGCATTTTAAGATGCTGTTCCACTGTCTTCCATTGTTTTGTTGATAGGTCGGTCTTTTTGTCACTCTTTTGAAGGTCATGTATCATATTTTTTTCTGACTACTTTTCAGATATTCTCTTTGATCTTTAGCAGTTTTACTTTGATGTGCCCAAGGATGATGTTCTTTGTATGTATTCCAATTTGGAGGTTTTAGTGGTTCTTGAATGTGTGGATTGATACCTTTCATCAGACTGGAATTGTCTCTTACCTCTTCTTTGGAAACTTGAAAAAGTTAGACATTTCCACTGTGTCCCACTTGTCTTTCACTCTTTTTTTCCCATCCTTTTTTTGTCTCTTCATGCTTTAATTTTAGTATGTCCTATCAACTTGTTTTTCAGTTCACTAGTCCTGTCTTCTGCTATGCCTAATATGGATTTAACAGAACCTATTTATTGAGTCTTAATTTCAGGTATTGCATTTGTTTCTACTAATTTTACTTCTGTATATAAATTTGTATTATCTTTTCATGAATCGCTCATGGGTCTGTTTCTTTTGCATTTTTTAGTAGTCTTTAGTCATATAGTCTGTATCTTGTAATGCCTAGTAATTTTTTAAATCCTCAACATTCCATATATAAAAAAGATGGACTTGAGAGGGCTCTCACCCACCGAAGAGGCTTTACCCTTTCCTCTGCTAGGCAGAGAAAGTAGAGAATTAATCACTTTAAGCAAGTACTTGGTTGAATCAAGGCTGAATTGAAGTTTTTTAAGGCTTATTCTGTCTCTGATTCATTCCTAGACCTAGAAGTTAGCCCTTCAGGGTTTTTAACTGAGAGCCTAGTATATTCTTCAGTATCTTTTTCTTTTCCCTTCCATATCTTTGCTCCTCAGCATATTGAGACTGCAGAACACTGTTTTGAATTTAAGAGATTATTGGTTTAGCTCTTCAGCCTCCAAACTCCACCACACCTCAGAATGAGAATATGAATTATGATAGGAGATGTGTAAATAGAAAGGAGAGAGAAGGCTACAGTCTAAACACTGGGGAAGTTTTGCTGTGAAGAGGGCAGACAAATGGGGCACCTGGAAGAGAATGAGTAATCAAGAGAGTTTTGAAAGAGAGAGACCAAGAAACTAGAGACAATGTCAAGACGGTATTATTGCTGGTGGGTTACGAGGCTCGGGATACAGGAAGACTGTGCCAGATCCTGAAGCCTTTAAGCAAATGAAGGGAAGCAACCGGGAAGCTGGCAGATGCTGGGATCTTCAGGGGCTTTTTAATGCGAGCAAGAAAGGGAAGGGGACTTCAAAGATTGTAATGAAGGGCGAGGAACTATATGTGAGCAGGGAGGGGCAAAATTAAGAGTCCAGTTTTGTGTTTGTTGAGGTCATCCACAGAGGAATGAGTTCTAAAGTCCTCAGAGTACAGCAGGTTATCTGCAGCCATGCAATTGGATGAACTCACCCACAGAAAGGATTTAGAGAGAAGGTCAACAATGGCGACCTGAGACATGCCGGTATTTACAGTCGGAATGAGGGGGGAGAAGTTGGGGACAGGGGAGGCTGAGAGAATAGAACGTTTCTGGAAGGGAATAGTTAACCACGTGGAATCGTGCTGAATTGTCAAATAAGAGGAGGATCACCAAGTGATCTCTGAGTCTGACATAAAGTTCTGGAAGAGGTCAGTGGAGTGATGACACTTGGTGTGAATGTTAAAGAAAAGCAGATTCGGGAACTCCACAGACAGTTCTTCAGAGAAGTTTTGACCAATGGGGGTAGAGATGGGTTCCCCCCGAGGAAGGCTGACATCATTAGTGAAAGCGAGTGGCTAGGAGGGCAGCCAGTGACAAGAAGGGCAGGGGTCACCATCCAGTGGTATAAGTCTAATGAAAGAGAGTTTGGGAACATATAAAGCTACATTATAAAAAAGCAGAGAAGTAGAAAACCGCCTCCATTGGAGAGGGCCACAGGAGAGCCTCTGTTCTAGAGGGGTAGTGGAGTTTCAGTTATAGCAGTAAAAAAGAAAAAAGAGTGTCTGCCTGATCCTGCAGTGTGGGTCCCAGAGACTCCAGTGCAAGGATGTACAGAGAGAAGCTGTGCCAAGCTAAGAGACCGGGGATAAGCGATGATCTCAAAGTCAGTCTCAGATGGCACAGGAGGAAGGGCCAACTCACCAGAATCTCAGCCTCAGAACCACCTGGGGAAGGACACTGAGAGTTCTAGGGGCCCAAAATTCTGGGAGCAGGGACCAGAGTGCCCTGCAGCTGATTCTTGAGTGGAAAATGTAAACCCTCTGGGTTTGGGCTTTTGCCAAGATGGTCTGAGTCCCCTGTAAGTAAAATCATGCAAGAAGTTTTTTAAAAGGGATTCAACTGCTGGCCTCTAAAGAAAACCCAGAAGGGAGGCTTGGGCCCTGGCTTCCCAAGCAGGCTCACTGCCGAGGCTGCGAGGTTGGCTTCCCACTCACCTAGGCATAACAGTCATGTACACAAAGCCCAGAAGTGACCACCGTGTCAGCCTATAATAATGATGACCCACTTGTACGTTTTTTTTTTTTCAAGTCCATAGGTGTGGACCCTCTGCCGGCTAAGCTGTCCTATGACAAGTCTCATGACCAAGTGTGGGTCCTGAGCTGGGGGGACGTGCACAAGTCCCAACCGAGCCTCCAGGTATGTTGAACACATGGAGACCCACACTCACCCCACAGGAACAAAAGATGCTGTTCCTGTCTCATAAATGTCTCTTGCTTCCCTAGGTAGCTAATCACACTTATCCAAAACTCCAGGCTTGAGGAGGGAGTGGCAAACAGCCTTGAGCCAAAGCCCCTCACAGCCCCTCACAGGTATCTTCAGCCAGGCCTACGTTTAAGGACAATAATCCTGATGATGGGTAAGATTGTAATGTTAGGACAACAGGAATGTGGCTCCCAAGCCCCTACCTCTCCTGAGCAAGGGCGTTCTGCACCTCGGGCTGGGCAGGCTCGAGAACAGTGTCCAAGCAAGTGCTCAAGGGGGGCCCTTAAGGAAGGAAAAGTAACAGTAATTATGTCCATAATGGAAGCACATTTATTGAGTGCCTATAGTACTTTAGGGCACTGGAAAGTTCAGTAGTGTGCCCATGGTCCAAGCCAGGGAGTGTGGCTCTACAGCCCAATATTCAGCCACTGCACTGTATTGCCTCTTGGAAACAGTTTGGGCCCAAGAGCTCTGTGGGATTGCCCCGTCCACCAATGGGAGAAGGTAACACCACCCCTGTGTGGAGTGTTTCATCAGGGATACATTCGAGGATTGAGCCCTAAGAAAAGTGATGTGAATGCCTGAATTCTCCCAGCAATCTACACAGGACCACTCTAGATGCACAGAAGAGAAGTTAATTCGTTTCCCACATTGGATGCCTCAGGACAGTAGGGTTTCATTCTCTCTCAGAACCCCAGCTAAGAAGAACTGCAGATGGAGCCCAGTTCACCGTGTTCTCAAGACTGGGAAGAGGGAAGGGACGCCCGGGTCTTCTACAGAAGCTTCTTCCAGGGGACTGACCACCCGCCTGCCTCTTCCCTCTTGGGCCAGGGGGACGATCCTGCTTCACCTCCTCTAAATGGAGACTATTGTCATTTAATGGATACCATCACCCTGGGGCCAAGTGAGCTGACCAAAAATCCCCCTTAGAGGGTCTAGGAACCTGAATAAAGCTCATTCAGAGCAGAGCATAAGCCCATGGAAATCATAACTTTTATTGGTCCCTCTGGCAGCTCCAGGAAAGCCTCTAAAGTAATTCAAGGGGAGGGGCCACAAAAAAATTTTTTTTTTCTGAAACCAAAAATGATTTCCTAATTTAACAGCAATGACTTGAGAAACGGAAAGAAAAAACATCAGTTGGGCACTGGATTTCTCACCTGCTGCAGGACCATGGAATCTACAGGATTCTATTCCCAGCCCAGATATCCTCTACCGGGCAGGACCGAAGAAAACGTGCGCAAGAATTCAGAAACAGCATCACTCACCGCCCCCTCTGAGGAACAGATCTGAGGAAAGATCCCAGACAAACACCAGATGAACCAGATCAGAGACCTCAAGATGAAGAAAGATAAAGAGGCGACAGTTGCAAACAATGAACCCAGAGAGGAAGTAAGATGATGGATGAGACCAGATTCCCTGGAAATGGTAATCAGTGCTAAATAAGGATGTCTGAATGAGAAATCCTGATACCAGTCTGTAACAGAAGATAAATTATTTCAGTAAAAATAAGCATAGGGAGTGGAGGAAAGAGGAGGGAGTAAAAATAATTAGAAATACCTTATTGGGATAAGAGAAGGTTCGGAGAATGCTGTTGGAAAGTAGCAGCTGGGAAGCGATGGTCTCATTATTCCACATATGACGAACTGATTTCTCTTGAATCAGACGGGGTTAGGAAGGAAGGAAGGAAACTAGAACTTGCTGATGAGAAACACACATGCCACAAAAAGAAGAAAAGGTTGAATTTAAAGGGGCGGGCATGGTGAGGACAGGTGAACAAGAATGTGTTCAGAGTGCCACTCGTATGAGTTAGGCACTAAAAACAGCAAACAGAGAGGTACTATGGGATGAACACCCAAGAGACGTCAAGCACCATTAACCACTGAGCGCCTCAAACAAGAGTGATCTAAAATAAAGGAAAACTTGATTAAAAATGCACTTCCATTGTACGAAGAAGATGAAAGAAGGATGTGGGAAAACTGAATGACACAACCTGATTTAATATAAACCTTGCATCAGCAAAACCGTTTTTTCGCACGTCAACATCCACACAAGTGTATCAGTATCTGATAATTAGAAATAATTAATATATGACCTAATAAGAAAACACTCCTTTATAACGATGGATCAAAAAGGAAATTACAAGGGAAATTACAAAGCGTCTCAAAGGCAAGGATAAAGCGATTCTTCCGCATCAAGACCAACAGGAGACTCAGAAGGCTGTGCACGTGGGTATCTGTGTCTTAAAAGCCTGCAGAAGAGGTACTTTTGTTAAGAAATGAGCACAAGACCAGAGTGGTAAGAAGGAATAAGACTGAAATTAATAGAAATAGAAGGACAAAGAGAGAAACAGAACTACTTCACAAGCCTGATAAAGGTAGACAAAACGAGGAAGGAGGAAAAGAATATTACTGCGAATACAGGAGGATAAAAATTATTGGGAAATAACACATGACTACTCTGGGGCAGCAAATTTGAAAACCGAGAAGAGGTGAATGATTGCTTGCAAAATGTAGGGAAAAAACCGAACTGACCTGGGGCGCCTGGCTGGCTCTATCAGTAGAGTGTGCAACTCTTGATCTCGGGGTTGTGAGTTTGAGCCCCACGTTGGGTGTGGAGTCAACCTAAGGAAACAGAAGCCTGAAATAGAACAATAATTATAGGTTTTTTGTGTGAAGAGCTACCACAGAAAAGTATACGGCTGAATTTTATCAAACCTTCCAACTATCATTTTTAATATTATTTGAACTATCTCAGACCACAGGGAGGAAAATGTACAGTTTGTTTTAAATAGCCACCATCATTTTAATTATAAAAGCTGACTGAAACTTGTATAAAAAAAATGAAGCTGAGGCACCTGGGTGGCTCCGTCATTAAGCGTCTGCCTTCGGCTCAGGTCATGATCCCGGGGTCCTGGGATAGAGCCCCGCATCGGGCTCCCTGCTCGGCGGGAAGCCTGCTTCTCCCTCTCCCACTCCCCCTGCTTGTGTTCCCTCTCCCGCTGTCTCTGTCAAATAAATAAATAAAATCTTTAAAAAACAAAAATTAAAAAAAGCTATAGACTAACCTCACTTACAAATACAGAAGCAAAATTCTCAACATGGTATTAAAAACAGAGTCCAGCAGTGAACCTAAACGCAGAAAACCAAGTCCCAGGATATAATGATGGTTCACCCTCAGGAAATCAGTCGATCTTGTCTTAACACAAACAAATGAAAACAGAAGAAAAAAAAACCTAATATTTTCAATAAAAGCTGAAAAGGCATTTAATTAAATACAGCAGACATTCTTAATAAAAATACCTAAAAACATGCATAGAAAGGAAATTTCTTAATGAACACTATTTCCCAAAAACCAAGAGCAAATTTTGCCTCAAAGGCCAAACCCAAAAAGCACGTTGATTACTATCAGGAATTAGACCATGATGTCTACCATCAAGCGCAAAGCCTAGGAACCTCGCTTTGACAAGTGCACAGATTGAATAGGCCTGCCTCCATCACTATGGGCTCGGGTTAAAGAAACCACGACTTGGCAAACACTCCTGGAAATGTCACTGGTACAGCCTGTGTGATACACAATCTGGAAATAACCAAAAGCCTCAGAGCAGTGCTTCCGTATCCAACAGCTTGACTTCTCAGAACCTACCCAAAGGCCATGATCATGGGAATGGACAAAAATTTAGCCACAACATTATGTGTTTCTGCATTGTTTACATGTGCAAAGCAAAAAATAATATCCTAGTGTTTCTCAATACCCAACACTAAGGAGCTGGCTAGATACAACTTTGCTGGGACGACTTGAAGGTGTTTCTAGAAACGAAGCCATTCCCTCAGCAGCCAGTTTTGGAAGCCAACATCTTCTTGAGTCCTCCGGGTCACTCCTTTGCCCGCCGGTCCCCAGCCCAACGAGGCCTCCCATCTCCACTGGTTCTGTCTACCCGCTGAGGGAGATGCTCAGCCTTCAGGGCCCACACTAACGACCACATGATATTTCCTGGTATCTCACCACCGATGTATGGCTCCTGAACCAAGCCCATAAAACCAACAAAATTGAGGGGTTCAACAATTCTCTTTTGGGCACAAATGTGCCCAGGAACACTGAAGACGCATCGGAGAAATGAGGCGGGCAGCGCACGTCAGCTTAATGGCCCATGCTAGTGCGTTCTGATGAAGTAACCTCTGAATACAGGGTGTCAGCGTGGTGAGGCGCGAATGACACTGACCGCTGACAGCCTGTAATTTTCCATCTCTGTGAGAAGCTAAAATGACAGGCCTGGTATCAAGCAGTGATTGTATGCCTTCTTGGAATTCTCTGGCACTTTTCCCTTAGACATTCCCAAGATCCAGTGTCCTCAGGTTGCTATTTTCTTAATGCCCAGTTCTAAGAGGTTTTTTTCCCCATGCACTTGCCATGGAAGTATCATTTGGCCATTTTGAAAAACCACAGAAAAATAAGCCAATGCCATGTTACAATTTTGGAGGTGCCCCAAGGCTAAAAATAAAAATCACAAGCCTCATCATTCCAATCCGGCATTCTGCCTGCGTGGCCCCCCCCAAGGGAACCATGATCCAGAAAAGACTCAAACCTCAATCCTGCCTAAGGAGGCAGGCCAGGTGGTGTTCATTTCCCCATAAAAGAAAGAGCCAGAAGGCAGGCCTATTCTTCGAAGGTGAAAGCATCCAGAACTCCAAGCCTTGTGAGTCACAAAACCCCAAGAGACACTGTCCTCAGCCTCAGGCCGCACAAGTCTGGACCCTTCTTTCTGTAGACACAGCCACAATCCAGATCAGGAGAAGTGTCTCAGCTCTGTGTTCAGGCTTGAGCCCCTGCTCTCCTGCTCAGAGGGTCTGGGCTTGACCTTGTGGACCTTCCTCCAGAATGGCCCACCAGCTGGCCAAGCCCCTCATCTGGCTGCAGGTCGGCCACCCTTCAGGGCACCCGGCCTAGACATTGGGGGCTGATGAGCTCGTTCAGAAGACAAGGGGACACAGGCTGGCACGATGTCTCTGGCCTGGCCATGCCCAAGACTAGGGTAGCTGCTGGACAGAAGCTCAACCTGACCGCAGGGGGCTTCCTGGCAGGACCTCCAAACCATGCTCTCATCCCACCTAATCTCCAATAGCACTTGGCTCTCTTCTGCATCGCCGGCATGCTGTTCCCTGACACAGACCCACCAGGGGTCTCCACACCGGACAACGGCTGCAGCCGCCTCCTGCCGACTCCACAGGGGCTTGGGTGTTACCTCCAGGGAAACAGAGGTAACTATGCTCGGTCACTCCCAGTGTGGACAAAACCCAGTGCCTGATTCCTGATTTCTCACAGCAAGGCCTTTCTGCAGCCAGACCCGATCCCCAGCATTCTAATCGCAAGCCATCTAAATGGCCTGAGCAGCATCTTGGAATGGCGTTTCTGCAGAATTCCTGCTTTCTCCAATAAATTATGGAGTCACAGTTCCCAGAGAACACCTCTGTGAGCAGTACAGGACAGAGATTCCCAACAAACGGGCCCAGGCACCTGGCATCAAAGGAAAACAGGGAACCAGTAAATCTTTCCAGCATTTAACATTTTTTGTGATTTAAAAGCTCTCTCCCTCTTTTCCCAGGGTGACCTGGATGCTGAGATGGTGGGATTCTCTGTTGTGGGGGAGGTGGTCTCTGAGCAGAGTGACGGTTCTGTTCTGGGGACCTCTCTGGGAAGCCGTGCCTTCAGAGGGCTGACAATATCCCGTGGGTTAGGATCAGGCCTGCCTGAGCAGGAGGGCATGATTCGGGCATTCACATCTGTCCCCCTACTTCCTCTCTCCAGGAGGATGAGTCCCTGTCTCTGACATTCCCAAGTAGCTCCCACTCTGCTCCTGCCCACCCCCCTCTCTGAAGCAGCCCGTCTGCTGAGGGTCCCTACCAGCACATGCAAAGGTTTCCAGGTCGCCCACCCCTACTGGGGTGGGCCCTCACCAGGACTCCTGCTCTGTGTTGTAGGTGATCACAGAAGCCAGCACTGGCCAGGGCCAGCACCTTATCCGCACGCCCTTTGCAGGAGTGGACGATTTCTTCATCCCCCCAACAAACCTCATCATCAACCATATCAGGTGAGACGGGCCCACGGTGCCCTTAAGTACCCCCGTAATCCAGCTCAGCCGTGCATTTGCCCACCGTGAGACCTGCTCCTTCTCTGTCTCTCCCACTCATGCTGAGTGGCCTTGGGCTCCCTCATGAGGGGACAGAGAAATGGACCCATCCCGAGTCTTTAATGGTCATAGTTAAGGTGCCTTCCTGCCACCCTCAGATGCCCATTGAGGGCGGGAAGTCTCATCTTCAAGGTGAGGACAGTAGAGGAAAGGAATCAACAGTGGTTAATGGATCACACTCTACTTACTAGACACACACACAAAAAACTAGTCAAAGTGGTCTTGACCCCTTCTTACAGATGAGGAAACAGAGGCTCGGAGAAGCTAAGACCCTGGCCAAGTTCACACAGCCAGGAGCCCACCGAGCCGCCATGCAGATGCCCAGCCAGGAAATGAGCCCTCCCCGTTGTCTGGTTTGTCAGCATCCAGAAGGACAGCCTAATAAAGGGAGCCATGGTCTCAACTGCAAGCCTCATCCCAGCCCAGCCCCTCCCCCCTGCCTATTCACATCAGAGAACCCCCACCCCTGACTGGAAAGTCAGCACTGCAGAAGACTAAGCCTGCCCTCTTATCAAGGCACCGAGACTCAAAGGTCTTGGGGGCGCTATTTATGCCTCTCTTTTTGTCTGACATCAAACACCTTTCTCCAAGAAGCAATGCCTCATTTTTGTACACTGAAACTGGACTTCTAAAACTAGGCCCATCCATTTATCCAAGCCCAAGGAAGAAAACACCCCTTAATGAACCCCTCCCTGTAGACAGCACCTGGGGAGAGCTTCTAAGATGGCCCTAAAGGGTAAAATCCCCCAAAGAAGCTGAATTCAGCCAGGAATCTAGCAAACTTACAGCCTCTGCATTGCCTATGTGTGGCTTTAATATGTGTGGCTATAAGAGTGGGCTTCTCTTTCCTGTTCTTTCCGTGTTCTGGCTTGTTAAGAATGCTTTAAAGAAGCTTTAAACTGGGCATCTCCTCACTCTGACGTGCTCCATTAGTTACTCAGGAGAAAAGCGTGGGGGAGATTTTTCTCTTATTCCTATAGGTGTCCACAGGCACCAAAAGGCCTCCCTGAGTTTAGATAGAGGCCCCCAAGTCAAAGCCAAGTCCTGCCTGGGGTCAGGTCTTCTTGCAGCTCACAACTCGCCTCCAAAGCAGACTTGCGCCAAGTCCAGACGGGAGCAGCTACCACCTACCGAGCCCTTCCCCTCCAGCTCCCTCTTTGATCCAGTCCTCCCGACAACCCTCTAGGAAGGAACTGCTCTCTTTAGCGTCTCAGAGGCTCTGAAAGGTGAGCCACATGCCCGGCTGTGCAGGGGGCAGGCTATGTCGAGACGCCGTGGCCGTCAGACTGCAAAGGTAAACGCTGTCCCCAGCCCTCCTGCCCAAGCTTGCTCCCAGGGCCCCAGGAGAGACTGCCCCCCTATGGTCCTCTCGCAGGGAAGGAGCGCTGGGAGAAAGTGTGTCCTGTTCACTCGCGCAGGCTGCTCAGATTCGGACTCTCTATTTAGCCCAGGGAACCACAGCAGAAAGCTCGCCTCCACCGCCCTCCCAGCAGGCAATCAGGGCTCCTGGCCTTTCCCCGCAGACATCGGCGCCCACCTCCCAGCTGGCGCAAGGCCCCAGGGGAGCTGATCAGAAGGCATCCCACAGGGAGAAGCAGCGGAGGGCACCATGACGCCCCTTCTTCCCCATGGCTAGAGAGGAGTGTGCATGTTAGGAGAGCATAAATCCAGGAGCATTTGTAACTCGACTGCCTTTGGTTTGACATTATAGATGAATCACGGAAGAAGCTGTGCCCTGCAGGATGGTACATCTAATTAAGAAGCTATTAGATGCCTGAAGGATTATGATAGAGGGAAGAGAAAAGATTTGATCCTTTAGACGAAAGACAGACCCCCCTCCTGACCCGACCTCTGACCTCGGTTCTTCCCTCCGCAGGTTTGGCTTCATCTTCAACAAGTCTGACCCTGCCGTTCACAAAGTTGATCTGGAAACACTGGTGCTGCTCAAGACCATCAGCCTGCAGAGCCACGGCTGTGTGCCCCAGGCCATGGCCCACACGCACCTGGGCGGCTACTTCTTCATCCAGTGCCAAGAGAACAGCCCCGCGCCTGCCGCACCCCAGCTGCTGCTTGACAGCGTCACGGACTCTGTGGTCGGCCCCAACGGGGACGTGAGCGGCACCCCACATATGTCTCCCGACGGGCGCTTCATCGTCAGCGCGGCCCCCACCAGCCCCCAGCTGCACGTGCAGGAGATCACGCTGCAGGGGCGGATCCGGACCCTCTACAGCTTGACAATCAGCGCAGGCGTCGCGGACATGGCCTTCCAGCCCTCCTTCACCCAGGGCGACCAGTACCACGTGTTCGCCACTGCGGAGACAGAGCCGGCCCTGCTGTTCCTGGAGCTGTCCACGGGGAAGACGAGCGTGCTGAAGAACCTAAAGGAGCCGCCCGCGGGGCCAGCCTGGCCTTGGGGAGGGCCCCGCAGGATCGTGAGGGACAGCGGGCTCTTCGGACGGTACCTGCTCACGCCAGCGCAGGAGTCGCTGTTTCTCGTCGACGGGAGACAAAAGGCACTGCGCTGTGAGGTGGCGGGCATCAGGCGGGGGACCACCGCCGTGTGGGTGGGCGAGGTATGAAGGCCCCCGCACCGCCGCAGAGCCCCGGGCCACCGAGCTCCGCCTAGTCCTCACTCCGCAGCCCCCAGCAGGTGTCCTGTACATTTTTACAGACAAAAGCAAAACCTGTATTCGCTTTGTGGTTCAACACTGGTCTCCTTGCAAGTTTCCTAGTCTAAGGTATGCGCTGCTAACCAGATTGGGGTTTTTTGTTGGGAAGTATGATTTACGCCTTGAGCTACAGTGAGAACACATGCTACTGTGTCAAGGAATCGTTTCTGTGCCCAGCTCCATGCCATGGTACCTGGGGACGCCGTGGAGCCAAGAGTTCCTGCTTTCCAGGCTGACCTTTCTGTCGGTTGCCTTCATGTACTCATTGTCCCTCACCGCCGGGTCCGGCCAGGCTTCACCCCGATGGAGTGGCCTGAAGCCCGGCCTGGAAACAGGCTCACCGGGAGCAGGGCTTGCGCTCCAGGCCTGAGAGCCATGTCCGCCCGCCTCCTGGACCTTCTTTTCTCCTGTGCAGCTGCTTTGTGATTTCCTTTTCATGTGACTTGGTGTAAGCCTGAGGGAGAGCCGACAGGACTTCTTGCATCTTGGGGGATGGGGAAATCACTTACTTTATTTTGGAAATTTTGATTAAAAGATAATTTTTTATAATCTCAAACACTAGTAAGCAGAAGGATGCTCTGTGACATCCAGCTCTGTTCCTCCCTGCCTCAGGCCAAGTCTCTGTGAGTCACCACCCCACGCCCCACAGCCAGAAGGAACAATGGTCATCCAAGAATAACAGCCCTCCACACCATGGACGCCCCAAGTGCAGCTCTGGCCACCACCTTGGCCAAGACTCTATTCTGGGTTGGGACGCAAAGAGACCAGGACAAACCCTGCGTGCCTGCTTTTTACCACTGAAGGGGGAGGTTTTATTAGCCAGGCCCAGTACCCCAGATTCAGGGCAGATGGGGCTTGCCAGGCAAAGTGGGGGTGGCCTACAGAACAGTGACCTCCAGGCGCCACACAGGAACCCCAAAGACCCGTGCAGGGTCCAGGTGGGTTCTGTAGGCTGTTTTAAAAATCCCTTTCTTTTCTGCCTGTGGCCCTCGAACTTCAGTCCCTGCTTCAACACAGCACACAAAGCACATTTCAGGACTTTCTTACACATGGCCCCTTCTCGTCCCAGTAACACACACTGCAAAACCCATAATCCCAAGGATGTGGGGTTAGGGGGAGGATACAGGCAGGCAATGCTGCATGATCCCCAATGTCTCAGACTCTGCCGGGCTGGGGGCGGGGGGGGCTCATCAAGGAAGTACAACCAGCCCAGCCGGCCCAAGGAAGACACCCCGTGTGGGAGAATGTCTGCAATGAAGAAGCTTCCCCGGGCCCCCCAGAACCCCCCTTTCTTTCTCCTTCACGTCAGTAGTCACAACATACTCGTATGCTTTCTGGCTTGAATGACCGTTTTTCAAGCCCCCTGAAGTTGGAAAAGGTGGTCCCCTCACATGCACCTCAGCGAGCGTAGCCCCCTTCACCTGGCCACATGGCCATGCTTTTCCTGTGCCGCTGATCGCCAGCCCCGTTCAGGAGAAGGAAGACACACACCCTGCCTTGCTCTACTTATGCACAGCTCCCCTTCACACTCACCTGACTGCCCCCGCCCCGATTTCCTGAAATCAGCCAATCCCCTGGCATCTCCCATGTGTCTTGGTTCACCAAACACTTGTGCCCTCCAGCTCCCAAGACTGTGGCCAGATGTGCCCATGCAGACTTGAGATTTTGTTCCAGGTAAAATACAGAGCTACAGGCAGGGGAATGGACTTCAAAGGCGGCCTACTCACTTTCACCAGAGCTGGGATGGACAGGCAACACCTCTTACCCTCTCTTTTTATTCCTGTCTCAGTCTCTTGACACCTTCACTTGCAAACTCCCACTTTTATCGCTGAAATTCTCCAACATTCATGAACTTCTCCCTTTGGGAAAATCTTCTACACGGTGGCAGCCCCTGGCAGAAAAAAAAAAAAAAGTTGGGATGAGCACTGGGTGTTATACGCAACCAATGCATCATTGAACACTACATCAAAAACTAATGATGTACTACGTGTTGGCTAACTGAACATAAAAAATAAATCAAGTCTCCGAGCCTACCTGAGGAAGAGACTACCAGCTGCCAGGCCAGAGCGTCAGCCCCTCTGGGTCATGGGGTTCCTAAGTCAAAGACCGTCCAATCCCAACTGGCCCTTTTGCACTGTGAGTGACTCTGCAGCCCCAATCCTTCCGTTTCTAGGTGTGTCTGCGAAGTGTCTCTGCCCCTCGCTGACTCACTATGAGTTTACCAGAGAGGCCGGCCCAGGCTCGACCAGCATTCCGCACACTACCGCGGCGGAGCAGGGAGCCGCCCGCCTAGAAACTGAGACATCTGCACCATCACAAAGACAGCTTAGTAACTGCTTTCTCAGCAGAGCAACCAACAAAACTGCTGTGGGGGCTACGCAGGGGGAAGGCGGGCCAGGTCGCCCCCCACCCCTTCAAGCCCCAGAAGAGCCTTCCTGGGACACAGTTTGAAAGTCAGAGCGGTTAAGCCTTGCGGCCAGCCCAGCCAGTGATCCTTCTACTAAACACAGGAGCTCAGCCAACAACAACTCTCTCACACTAAAGAAGCGTTCATCTTACATTAAAAAGCCACTTTAGTAATGAACTACTTCAAAATTACTCAATTTTGAAATAAAATTGATTTCACAAAAATTCAACGTAGTATATTTTTTTCATAACAACTCACAAATAATCTACACCCTTGCTGATATTAAAGACTTGAAACGGAGGTGTGTGTGCCCCTTCTGCCCACGTGAGTGGAACCCTGCATGGAGGCTCTGGGTCCAGAAAGCCCACCCAGCCTTGCACAGATGGTTGGTAGTAAGAGGGATTCGTCGGCTTCCAGGCAACTGCGTGGACTCTCTGCACAGGAAGCCCGGGTGTGGAGGACATGCCTTGTAAATGCCACCCTCCCCACCCCTGCAACCTGCCTGGGGCTGGCCCAGGCTTCCTCCCATGGTCTCCCAGGCATCTGAGGGCCCTGCTACCTTCCCCAAGCCCCTGGAAGCGGCTGGAAGAGCCCCATGAAGTCAGGCTGGGGCCAACCGCTAATACCAACAAGCTACAGGAACTTGGATCTAGAGGCGTCATGAGCAGAGACAGAAGCTCAGCCCCTACAATCCCCACCTGACCCCACCCTGGCATCTCCTTTCCTCCCTGCTCCTCTGTGCAGGAAGGGGCTCCCAGCTCCAGGTAGGGCCTGGAGGACAGCTCTCAACCCCAAATAAAGTGGAGAGCCACCTGCTACCCTAAGCAATCTAACTGCGGAGACTTCATTTAGAATAGAGAGCAGCCCAAAGTTGGCTTTGTGAGGCCACAACTTCTTTTCTGTCGACCAATAACCTGTGAACTAAAGGAGAATCCAGAATGGAGACGTGAAACAGATCCACTCTGGATATATTTCTCTACCAGGGGCTTACGACGTCATCCATTCATTTCTCACTGTGTGTTTCACTCACATACCGCAGACGCTGAACCGTCTTCACCACCACATCCCACAGCCCTGTGTTGGGTCCTCCTCTCCAGAAGGAAGCCTCCGGATCACTGATACCACTCCCACTCCCTCCCACACACCTACCAGTCTACCTCACCTTCTCCTCCCTGCAGCCAGCTCCTCTGAAAGCTGCCCCCTCACCCCAGGAAGCCCGACTGTGACACAGGCTGACAACCATGCTGGTGTGCAGTCTTCTGCTGTCCTCCCCCACCCAGAACCCCAGATCCTTCTCCAAGTGCAGTCAGAACCCACTGGGACACAGCCCTGTGCTGCCCAGAATCACCACCCCCATGCCCTGGCTCGCAGCCCTTCCAAGCGAGGTGACCGAGACCAGAGCAAACTCACAATTGTCAGGGAAGTGGACTACTGTCAAACAGAAACCGTCAGACAGGAATACAGACGGTGATGACTCATCCAAGCCTCATCCCTTCGAGGGCCTGAGCTACACCTCCCTCATTTCCAGTTTATTCTCTGTTTTGCTGCACCCCGCCCCCGCGCCTCAGGCCTCCTGCACATGAGCCGTGCCACAGCTCCTACAATTTGAGAGGCAACTGACCTACTGTCACACCAGCCCCCCCAATGGCCTTTGCCCCATGCCGCTACCTTGCTTTCAAGTCCGAGTAAGAAGTCACTCACAGGGCCAGACGCCACGATTTGCTCCCAGACTAGCACGTCGGCAGAGCAGTTCTGTTCAACCAAGTCATCAACTACCATGGTTTCTCTTCAAAATCAGAGAGGTTTTAGAACAGAGAGAGGCTTAAAAGATTCAAAGGAGGAAATAGTGCCTATGCTCAAGGTCTGACGATAAGACCCCAGATCCCTGGTGGAGTGCAAGCCACTTCCTGCTTTAGTCTACACCAGGCTGCCTGCCAGGTTACTTGAGAACTTGAGCATCTTCTGGGAGCCTGCAGACTATAGGCACCAGCCACCCCACTGACACCAGGGGCCCAGCAAGCATGGTCTCACACCTTCTGTGGAGCTGTTGGCAGCAACGGGGATTTAGCCAAACACAACGTGTGAGGTTACAGAACGCATGGGGAGAGCAGGGATTGGCCTCCAGCACTGACAGTGAGGCCGAGTGTTGACCAGAGTGTTGACTGTGTACTTTCTGTTACTGTTCTTGGACAAACCCACAATTCACACACCCCTTTTTCCAGGCTTGTCTTGACTAATATGGGACCATCTCTCTCCTGTGGGGTCCTAGAGAACATGGGCCACACTCCAGAGGGCTCTAGAAGGCTTAGCCTGCACTCCACAAAGCAGGAACTACTGACCAGCCCCTGCCCCCCGCATGTCACCAGGGCAGGATCGGAGAATGCTGCCCTTTAGGGATACACTCTTCGAGACCGGAACTTCATTTCTGACGAAGGGCAACCAGTCTTGACCGATCATGGGGCCCAAGGGCTCTCCAACGAGAAAATTCCCAAAATCTCACCCT